ATTCCTGCTATTGCAGGAGCCTTCTGCCTCTGTCGTTTCAATACAAGTCCGATTCTAGCCGTCACTTTTGCAGAAGGAGGCTATAAAAGGTGAAATAAGAACAGTGCGTGGGATCTAAAGCCAGAAGGCTAATAAAAAAACACAGCATTTTTTACCGTGGTTATTCCTTAACATTCAGAGTTAGCGATGGCTGCAAACATAAACCCTGTAATGATAAACTGAATGAGCAATTGGTTCATTCTCAGTACCAGAACCAAAATAAATCAATGAATAACAGATCACACAGAGTACTCTGCTGTAATGCAGAAATTTCTCTACTGAGTGAAAAGAAGCGCTTTTGAGACCAGCATAGCACACCAAAGAACCGGAAAAGCTTGTTTCCCTCCGAGCTCCACAATAAATCCATCATATATCTACATTTTCGCTTGAGAGGTGATAGGTGTCCTCGGGTGGGTATCTGATTGCTGTTAAGTTGCAGCTAGCTCCGTGTGAAACAGCTCAGCGTATCCCTGCGAAGGAAGGCGATCGCTCCCTGTTTGGCCGACCTTAGCGCGGCGCTGATCCGATTCTCTGGGTGGGCAGAAGATGTGCGTTTCCACCGTGGAACTGTTCGTTTTCCAGTCACTGTTGTGGACCCTTAATTGTGGCCCTTTTAGGAGAAGTCTAAACCCCTTTAAATTAGGCACCGAGAGGAAAAAAAATTCTGATGTTGTTCCATTTTCACATAGCGTTCTGGGTGTTTTATAGCGCTCTTTAGCGGTCAGGCTTTCTCCCAGTGTTTTGTGTTCTGCCACGTTGGCTGCACGAGGCTGGCAGACCTTTAGCATGGCTGTCTCCAAAACGTGGAGAATAAAGACACAAAATACTGATATTTTCCCGTGGTCACTCAGGGGAGTTGCAGAACCAGCTCGTAGGTCTGGGCTGGAAACCAGGGGACCTTCCTTCCCTGCTTCTGGTCCCCTTAGCTGCTGACGGAGACCGATGTGGTTGGAAGCGTCATCATCTGGCTGGTGTTTTGCAAAATACGAGTTTTGTAAAAGTGCCGTGAAGAGCAAAAGGGCTTACAGTGTTTTGTAGTGCTTTAGAGGCATGAGTTCAAGCCTTCGTTGGACCTCAGCCAACGTTTGTTGTCCTAGCTGGAACCGGGATCGATTATTTGAGCTTAGGAGCCAATTACGGCCCATCTGATGCTCCCCACCCCATGTCCCAGGGTGCCGTTTGCTGGGGAGGCTGATCTTCTTCGACCACACGTGCTAAGTGGGCCACTGAGGCTCAGGACAGACCTTGGGTGTTTTAAATCCCCCGCAGTGTGAATAAGCAGTTTAACTCACGCCTCTAAATTTTAATTTGACACAAATTTGTCAGGTTCGGATTGACCAGCGCTTGGCGTCCCTTTAACATCTCCCTTGGAGGAACCGTGTCCCATACAATGTCTGTCTGTCTGCTTGGCGACCCTGCAGGTTTCATGCACCGCGGGGAATTTTGGATGAGAGAAATTGCTGTGCCAAAGGAAAGCGGTCTCATGGACTATCCTGGCTCAAGTCTCTGACTTCTTATAGGGCATCCTCAGCCAGAACAGGATGTTCTCCATGATCAGAAGCAGGGAGTGACCTGCAGTCTGATGAACCAGCTGTGGGAGGGTCTTGAGAGGCTGATGGAGATGGCTGCATGGATTTGTGCACCGGCCCCGCGGCCAAGGACGGGGAGCCCCACGGGGCCAGGACCATGTCTGTGGGGCACTCAGGGCTCTGCTTCCCGGGGGGCCACTTGCTCACCATTCCTGGGTTTGTGTTCCCCCATCCCTCACCCCGTTATTGGAGCATGACATCTGTCCCGTGTCCGTGGGTGGGTTGGTGCCGAAACACGGGTGCTCCCTTAATTTACTATTTGTTTATTATCTTGCTCTGCCTCATCGAGCCTGCATTAACGTTACACCTGGTGTTTTCGGTGCTCCTCATGCTTGCATTTAGCAGCTTCCTGGGGAAAGTGTCTTCCCACGTGGCTTGCTTGATGCTATTCAAATGAATTTGTGGAGCCTCTAGTCTGCACTTGTTTCACTAAAATTCGGGTTGTGCTTTTCCGTCTGGCTGCCTTGTGGAAACAGCATCCCGAAGCAGTATCTCAGTCACTTGCTCTGTATTTTTTGTAACATTAATTGAATTATGGGAAGCAGGTTACTTAAGCAAACAAAATGGCCCTTGTCACACTTCATAGGGCTTGTTAAACCCATTTAAACCAACGTTATCAACGCTTCCCAGTAATTACAGCCCTAAGTGGCAAATCAGCCTTTCCACCCCTTGAGGAAGAGGTCGCCAAGGGTTTGGCGGGGTGGCCTGTTGCAGCGCTGCTCCCGGCGGAGCGAGACGGGAAAATGTGTCCAGCCCCCGTGAAATATTGCGTCTTCTGCCACATCCCTGACCCAAAAGAGCTTACTAGTATTTAATGAACTGCAGCCGGGTCCACGGGTCACCCATGGAAAGCAGGACTGTAGTCTGCTCTGCTTCTGGAGAGGGAGATGAGTTGCGAGTTCCCTTCCAGTCCTGGTAAGGAGCCGTTAACGGACTTGGGCCACCCTGAAACAGGCTTTGGGATGGGTTTGCAGCGAGGCACAGTGACACTCGACCCTTCCGTGATTTCGTAGCCTGGCTGGTTTAACAGCCCGGGGATGCGGGAACTGGAACTGCAAATACTGCTGACGTGCAGGTGGCCTGGCCTGAGCTTGCTGCTCCAGGCTGCCAGGGAGCAAATATACGGCCAAAGAAGGAACACGTCCTTTTTTTTATTTTTCTTTTTCCTTATTTATTTCACAGGCAAGCAGCAGAGATGGGAATAGAGGAAAAAAGACATCAGCTGTTTATTAGATCAGTGCGAGTTGTTTTGAGCCCTAGCTTCTCCATGCCAGTTGGCATAGTAAGCTTTGTTTTGGGGGTGCTTTTTTGATGCAAAAGGGCATCTGATCGGCAAATGATATTTTGCTGCAATAATTTTCCGCAAGCAACTTGCACTGGTCTCTGTGAAGTAATATGCTGTTGATTAACACCCAAACTTACCCCCTCTCCCTGGTGTCTAGTTTTCGTTCCATGCAAGCTCTGATTGTTCAGTGAAAGAGAAATGTTGGCCTACGAAGCTAAACAGCCAAATGCACCAGCCAAACCCTCCCGTGTCCCAACTGTTCACCCTGTGTTTGCTCAGGGTTATTTTCATGCCACGCACAACTGAGGTTTTTGGGGAGAGCAAAACAAACAGTATTTGTTATTCAGTTCATTTAGGATTTTCAGCACTGTCGTCTTGCAGCAGCGGTGCCTGGGGGCTTTGGGGGAGCGAGGTTATGAATTTATTACGTGGTGTCTGGAGCTGTACAGAAACAGCTCCTGAAGGCCGTACGGAAGAAGGAGGAGGAGCCAGGAGTGGGTGGATGGAATCAGAAACTGGCTATGGAGACAATATAAAAATAATAATACCATTCATGCAGAGGATGTGAGAGCTGGATGAGATTTCTGCAAGCCTGGTTCCCACTGCTAGAAAAGGGAATTGAGTTTTTAAACAGCATCGGTGCCCTTGGAAGCTCTACACAGTGTGCTGGGCATAGCTCTAATCTCCGTGGGCACATCCACGGTGATTTTGGTGGCTGGGTTTGCGTCTGAGGTTGAATTCCTTAAGCCAAGCAGATCTAACCGGGATTATGGGTTTGTGAGATCTGGGTCTGAACTGTTTGCTTCTGTAATTTGGCAAACCAAAATCCAAAGTTCAGACGATCTTGGCGATGTTTAGGCCTTTGTTCCAGAGTCCATGTTTGATTTTATGGGCTGTTAATACATTAAAATTTGTTTTAAATGGTTAAGAATTGTTATTAAATGGTTTAACTGCAGGTTTTGAACTACTTAAAAGCAAGAGACAAGAAGCAAATGGAATGGACCTGGGTTGTTTTTAAGATTTCTATTACCTTCCTGTTTGATCACCTTGCAATCTCTAGTGTACGTCTCTATCCCTTGCAGAGCCATGGGGCTCTTATCGGCTGCGTTAGAGATGGGGGCAGCAGCCTCCAGATGTGCAGGAAGCTGTTGGTGGAGCAGGATATCTGCTCTACATCTCCCAAGTCTTGGGCCAGTGCCCAGACTGCTCTGTCAACCTGCATTTCCAGTCCAGGAGAACAAAATTTAAATTGGGAACAGTAAAACTAAGTAAAACAAAAGAGAATAGAAAAGCCTGAGTAAAGCAGTTGGAAAAATTAGGTGAAGGAGGAGAGAGATTCAAGTTAAGTCAAGGAGCTCAGGCTACCTCCATGGGGAGATATCAACAGTGCTGGTCACCAGCATCCTAGCAAATGGCTGAGGCTCATATATTCCTTGTGTCATCCTTGAAAATCTTTATCAATCCTGCAGTTGAATTTGATGCAACGGGCACATCTTAAAAGGAGCATGGTACCAAGCTGTGAAGCAGTGCGGAAAGCCAGGGAGGTCACCTGGGTGAACGGGCTCATTTCATTCCTTGCGCTGAGGTCTGTGCAAACGACATATGGACCAGACAGTGGACCTGGCTCTCTCTGGCTCTAAAACAAGCCCCTGTCCTTTCTCTCCGTCTCTTTGCAGAGCTCCCTTCCTCAGAACACTTGAGCGTGGCAGATGCTACATGGCTTGCCCTCAACGTGGTGTCCGGCGGAGGTGGCTTCTCCAGCTCCCAGCCCATCGGCGTGACCAAAATTGCCAAGTCAGTAATAGCACCACTAGCTGACCAAAACATCTCAGTGTTTATGCTCTCCACCTATCAGACGGACTTCATCCTGGTAAGCGGACATGAGAGGACCAGGCAGCTTGCAATGCTGCATGCTCCGCCAGATGAAAGTTCAGCTGGGCAGAGTTTTAGTGACACCCCGGGGGACACATTTTTTGAGGAGCAGCAGAAATACCAAAATCTGCTTTCCCCAGAGCTCTGTGTCTTGCAGTTAGGCTCTCTGACATGTCAGAAGCTTTTCCTAGGGAATGAGGTATTTGTTGTGCCGCTGTTGCGTGGGTTATCTGCTATCTAATGAAAGCACTGAGCCCACACTGCAGTCTCTCCCTTGCTGGAGGCACTGGTGGGATTTCTCTCCTTCACTCAGACGTTTGTTTTCTGAGAACTGTAGGAAAGTAGTGTCTGCTATCAGATTGGTTGATGATGGCCACGAGGCTCCGAAATTATTTTGAGGATGAGCACACTGGCTGTGTGTCTCACATGTGTGCGCATGCATACATTGGGCACAAGCTTTATTTCCTTAGGAAACAAGCTTCAGGAACAGGCAGCGCTGAGTTGTTGATGGGATGCTGGTAGAGAAAAGGTGAAACACATTCATCTTAGTAACCACAAGCTGATTCAAGCTTGCACAAGTCCACTGGAGTCTTTCCATAGTTCCAGAAGCGCTGTGGTGCTTAATCCTACTGGTATTTGCCGTTACGTCACTAAATATGCTTCTCCAAACACGCATCAAAATGATAATAATCTTCATGCACCTGCCAGCTCAAGCAGGAGTGATAGGTCTGCTTTTCTGGACCCTAAGAGTACCCAACCTCCACTGCAGCGTATTCTCATATCTGGCACGCATTGTCACGAGCAAATCCTGTTGTCCCCTTCAGGTACGTGAGCGAGACCTGCCCTTCGTGATGCATACACTGGCTGCTGAGTTCACCATCCTCAGAGTAGTGAACGGGGAGACGGTGGCTGCAGATGACCTTGGGATAACGAATGGCTTTGTCAAACCAAAACTGGGTAAGGACCAGAATGGGCTCAGCTTTCTGGGGAGTTGATCTCCGTGTTAGATGGGGGTGAGGGATCTGCCGAGTACGTATCTGCAACATCTCGGTGAATATTTATCCTTTTGTAGGATAATAAACCATCTTAGCACATGCCTGAGTCTCTCCCAGTTCAGCAAACGATTTGAATAGGTGCTTAACCTACACAACCTCCTGGAAGCAATGCTGATGAGCTTTGCTGAACTTGAGTCTTATAATTCTATTTTCATGTCTCTAGACGTCTAGGCGAGAATTCTGTCTCACCTTTTATAGAACGGAAAGTTAAAATACAGTTCATTTTCAGTAGCAAAAATAGCATTGTCTGTAGCCCACAGCTCCATGTTTCAGCATTTCAAAGGCAGATAGCTTATATAAAAGCTTGTTTAAGCATTGCAGTGATTGGTGCACAGAGAAGATTGCTATTCAGCTTTCACACTTCAGTATCAGTCAGGGTCACGGCCACGGTGAGCTCAGTGCCATGCAAAAATTGAGTATGTTTGCAGTTTGCAGAAAAAAGTATCAAACAAAAGGCACAATCTGGAAAAAGAAATGCTTAAATACATGTGTTTACCCACACACCTGAGTGTAATTTTGTGCCCATAGCCAAACAAAGCAGGGATCAGTTGTTAGGACGTGCCACTCAGCCTAGTCACTCGATAGCTATAGATCATCTTGTTTAAGAAAACGAGCGTTATACAAAAGTGTGAAGGAAGGGCACAGTGACGCAGGTGTTGATGATGCACAGGTATGCAGTTTGCTCTGTCGCCGTGTTTAATGATCGCATGCGTGAATACCGGCTGGCGCTCGGCCCACAACCGCAGGGGGGTGT